ATCGGCTAAGAGCAGGGCACAGCCTGCAGCTTGACACCTGAGTGGCAGTGGCACATTTGTTTGAGATGCTTCAGCTTAGTGTCTGTGAATGCAGTGCTCAAAGCCTCAAGGAGGAGCGTGTGTAGCCATCTTGGAGGAGTTACAAGCTGTCACCAGTGTTTATTTGCAAAGGCACAGCCCCTTGCTTGCTTTGCCTGATTTCAGGAGATTGGTTTAAGGATCTGTGAATTACTGGAAGGAACGAACTTCTCCTTGGTACTTATGGGAATCTGCAGAAGGTGGGGACCATGAGGGCTGAGAGATAACACAGCTGCAAATCTGTGGCAGTTTTATCCCGACACAGCAAGCATCAGGATAAAACTGAGCAGAATTCTGCTGTAAGCACCATCTCTGTTGTACAGAGGGGCTGAATGGTTCACAGGCTTTATTTTGCAAATACTTTGATGAAGGTATCACTCCGTATCATCACGTTAACCTCTATGCATCAGGCATGAGTGAGTAAGTATTAGTATTGGCTTTAAAAATTAAAGTTGCCTTGGGAGCGTATCATTCATTATTCATTTAGCACAGCGTGAAGAGAAGGCTGTCATCTTCTAGCACAAGCTAAATTAATGGCTTAAAATATTAGCATGTTCACTGCTGTCTCTTCTAGCAAATATATTAGTGACTGTCATCCCTTTAAATATGAGTTGACATGATTTTGTCTGCTTTTTCTTCAATGATTGAAAAACTGTTTGGAGAAGTTTCTAGGTCTAAATTAAACATTTGGCTACTCCTCCACTCTGAAAATGGTAACATTCAGATAAAGGTTTGGTCTGTATTAAACAACTGCATTAAATTTTGCTTCACACACAGAATCTTGGTGGAAAGAAATGTACAGTATAACACAGACATTTAAATGTTTTCTAAAAATAGGGAAAATGTACAGCAGAATATTCATACGGTTATATATTTGACCTTAGTTTATTATTTATGAGTATTACTGGTTCTTGTGTTTCTGTGGAATACTGTTGAAAAACATCTAGTTAGGCATCAGGAGTTTGATAACACAGTAAGCTTACCTGCATACGTAACGTTATATGCAGACTGCTGGAGTGCAGCAAAGGATCTTACTGGATTTATCACTTCAATTTTTCATCTCCTCCTTCCTGTATTTTTTGGGAGAGCCTTGTCATTCCCAGCAACTCTCTCTCTGAAGCTGGGACTCTGCTTTTCCCTCTGAAGCGCCTGTGTATCGCACACAGCTTGGAGAGGGTTTGCTGCAGGCCCGAGTCCAGGCAGGAGTGCAGCAGCAGTACAGAAGTGGAGGTGACAGCAAGAAGGGAGGATGACATTTTCTCAGCTGATAATTTGGGTTGTCCCTGTCATGCATGCTCACAAATGGTGGAATGGTCACCAGGCTGCTTTGTCATGTGCAAACATAGCAATACCACTTGGTTTAGATTACACTAAGAAAAGGGTTTGGGGCCTAAAAAAATCATCTTTGGTATTGCTGTAATTTCATCCTTTGCAGTGCCCTGAAAGTGCTGCTTCCCACCTCCAAGATCTCACAGACCTGTTGGAGTATTTCTGCCTTAGGATCCACTCAGCAGCCCATGGGCCATGGCGGGCTCGCACAGGCCACAGCCGTCTTTGACCTTCACTTCTCCAAGGTTCATCTGGGCACCAGTTACATAAAACCCATTCAACATTTTCACAGGGCTTTGAATTACATTTGTGTCTCTCCCCTTTTATAACTGTATAGCCCTAGGAAACTATGTGGACTTGTAGATTTTCCAGACCAGGGTGTGGTGTTGTCAAGGAGATGGGTGTATGGACCAGCTGCACACTTCCATCTGCAGTTCTGGAGCTGTTTCTTGTGGGATTTTAATCTTATGGTGTACTTAATCTAATTTTCTTTAAATTGCATTTAATAGTCGTGATAAACCATGTTGTGAGGGTATAATTTTAGAAAAGGCTTCTGTGGTTTTCTAAGGTAAAAGAAACACAAAATCGAGTGTAATAGCTCACGTCTGCAATGAAATTCAGTTCTGTCTCAAATGGCTGGAGATGACAAAACTGTGTGCACTTTACAAATTACAGTCTGTGAAAATAGATACCAGTGAGGAACCTTTGACAGATTTCCCCACTTAGAGTCTAGGGGATCTGCCATGTGTTGATTGTAAATAAACTGACAAGCTGTAAAGTATTGTTAAGTATCTCCAACTAATTGCATATAACACTAAATATGTAGGGATGGTCATGTAGTGACATCTTATGAACTGTGCAGGATTGATTGCGCTAAGATGGTATCCTTAGCAAAAAATCTGAATCACAGGTAGGAAGGCAAAATGAGAGAGGAAAAAGGGAAGGTCATAATTTATAGGAGTCTTTCAAGTTATAGCAGTGTCAGTTGGGTTTTTCCCCAAAAGAAAGAAGAGAATTCTCTTTACCCTCTAACCTTTAGAATATACAAGCGTGATTTGTGTGAGGAAACTACATGTTGGTAAGGCAGCAGGTCTTGAGGAGTTTGTGATGCCAGCTGGTTCACACTCCCTACAAAACTGACTGAAATCCCTGATTAAGCAGAATTGAGGTCAAATCTGAGACCTGGTTTCTTTTGGCATCCCAGGTATAGTCACTCCTGCACTTTGCTTCCCAAACCACTTTTATGCAGTCTGAGTTCTGGCCTGATGGAGAAGTTAGGCAGACGGGTAGTACAGACCAGCATACAAGGTCCAGGCACCTGGGGGTGCCAGGGAGGAGCTGTTCTGCCAATGCTTGGTTTAAAAGGTGTACTCTGAGGAGAGGGGTGTCCTCTATTTTGCTCAGGATTGCAGTGGACAGAATAGTTGTATTAGCAGGAAAAGGGACATGAGGAAAACGTTCTCTCAAGATGGTTCAAAAGAGCTGAAGTGTTTAGGGGGAACGAGTGGAAATTTGATTACTGCTACTAATAATTTGCATTTGAGTAGATGTCTCCTTTTCCTGCTGCTTCAACTAAATAGTTCTAGTAGATCTGTAGGAGGTTTTTGGCACATAGTTAAGTCTTTTATCTAATGAGGCTAACACCTTAATTTCTGCTTTACTCTAAGACCAAGTAGGAGGAAAAGACTGGTCGTCTAAATTGTAAAGCCATGTGGAAGGAAAAAGCCCTTGCAAGATAAGTCTTGACAATGAAGTTGTAAGAATTAACGTCACTTTCAGTATCTTCACCAATCACCTTTTCATTGCTTTTCATGCATCTCTCTTGGATAAACCCATTGACGCTTCATTGTAGTCAACATTTCACCAAGGGTTTTGTAGCAAATAGCTTAAGGATCCTACAGCAACAGCAAGCAGTTCTGAATCTGTACACCTTTCTTGGATTGGTGCTGCTGCCATGTCTGTGATGTTCAAACAGGTATCACTGAGGTTTGGTGGGCTTAAATATACATTTTTAGGTTATTTTAAAAATACTGGCTTAGATTTCCACAAGGAAAAAGACAGTGATGACATTTTTTGAAAGTATGAACGGGGGAGAGGCAGCTGCTGCTTCTTTGCCTTACCTTGTTCTTCCAATGCTGAACGCCACTGTGTGGCTCCGACGCTTTCCTCCCAAGTTGGAGCACCTGAAAGCTCAAGATTGCCTGAAGTCAACAGCGAGCTCATGGCCTTTTGGGTTAAATCTGGAACAGGGAAGATAGACCATGCTGCAGTAATGAGTTTTGTTATTAATGCACTCTAGGGATACTCTCATTTGATTAGGTACAGTACAAAGGCTTTCAGTATTACTGTAATTAATGAATCCTTTAGAGACTCATTCTTTATGCATTATTTCAATCGAGATTAAAATACAGAAAGGAGACAGTATTTGGGAGTTGCTAAACTGTGTTTGGGACATCAGAGCATTAGACTGCTGATTTTTACTTGTGTAGGTAGTTTTCTGTTTTGCTTCTAGGGCTGGTAGTGGGAGAGAGAAAACCAGTGCTTCTTGGCTGTTGAACTTGTTTGGATCTTAAAATGAACACGTGCTATTAAAACAAAAAAATACAGAAGTCACAGTAAAATAATTTGGGGGCTGTAAGCATTAAAATGTCTTAAGTTTTGCAGGTTTCCTAGTGTTGTACCATTAATGTGTTGTAAAGAATTGCATTGTGCAATAGGAAAGAGTTCTGTACCACCCATTTAGTACTTGATTCTGCAGTGGGATCTACATGGGTGAGTGAAGTGCACACTCGTGACGTGATCTTCCCTATGCGGATTTGGTAGCTCTTCTAATATTGTTTGAAAATGTGCAAACATAAGGGCAGCATGCGGGCCTAACAATCAGAAATAGTAAATGGTTGAAACAGAAACTGGGGTACTGGCATCACTGGCTTTGTGTTCGGATTTTCACTCTTCATACTGAGTGTGTTTCAGACCAAGATTGCGTGGTCGGTTTCATCATAGCCGACCACTGCCTCCAGTGATCAACCCTGGAGCTCCACAGTGACGTTACCTTTCAGCAGACTTGTTCTAATCTTGATCTTTAGTCTTTGGTGTTTTTTTCCCTGATTTCCCTTTTTGCCTAATGTGCTGAGTAGTGTGTGATGGGTTGAAAAATGCTCCCTCATGCTTTATCCATTTCTTTGCCAAATCCAGGTCTAAAAAAGACAAAGTTAAAGCAGGAGTAAAACCAGATACTTCTGATCAAGAACCAGAGGGACTGACGCTTTTGGTCCCAGACATCCAAAAGACTGCAGAGATAGTTTATTCTGCTACCACCAGTTTGCGCCAAGCAAACCAAGGTAAACTAGAAATACTTTTCTAAATAATGTATAGTGTTTATTTGTAATACATTCATGAACAGATAACTTATGAATTAGCTTAAAAGCAAGAAAAAGGACTTCCCTCCTGCCCCTAGCCACTGACTACGTTTTCAAAGGCAGTTGGAAGCTTGTGGTAGCCTGAAATGTTTCGATCGGGAAGCAAGGAAGTGAGAGGACATCTCATGACTTCTGCTCAATTACGGTCCCGATTTTGGAGAATGCGTCAAGGACGTGTGTGTGAATGTCCATCCACACAAGGGTACATCACACTTCTGATTTTTTAAATGTGAAGTAGGAAGAAACAATAAAAGAATATTCATAGCAGCAGTAGTCATGAATTGTATCTGAGCTGAGCTAACAATCTTTATTTAATTCAAGCTGTTCAGGTAATGAAATCTATAATGGTGAGAAAACCAGATCTGTATATTGCAAGTGATCCCCAGTTTTCAGAATTCTCTGCAAACAATGTCACAATAAAATGTCATTTCAAGTTAAATAAGCCCCAAATGCTTGCTGTATTTGTCTCTGAATTACATGGTTAACTACAAATAATCATCACATTTTGTATAACAGAGAAGAAGATGGCTGAATACTCCAAAAAGGCTGCTGTGAAGCCCAAGCCTTTGTCTGTTTTACGGTCTCTTGAAGAAAAGTATGTGGCTGTTATGAAAAAACTCCAGTTTGGTAGGTGAAGTGTGAATATTTCCGTCTCAGAAAGCAGATAAGAAATACGCTGTCTGTTGCGCTGAACCCCTAATTATTTTAGAAAGTTGCCAGCTTTTTTGCATATTTGATCACCGATGCTTTTCACATATGGAAAATTATGTAAGTCTGTGTTTTCTGGTTACCAAATAATGCACTCTTTGAACTAATAAGAAATGTTTTAAGCTTACACTAGATTAATTCAAGGGATCAGATGAATTCAGTGACGGTGTTCATATTTTCATTCCAGTAATGATTTGTGAGTCTTTCAGTCCTCACATTATCTTGAAGTGTTGGATTTTTTTAAAACTCACATAATTGTACTTACATGTTTCTTAATGTAGCTTTTATTTTTAAATGGAATAGAATACAGATCAAAATGTGGTTTTTAAAATGAAACTGTAGTAAAGTTCATTGTGTCCTTTCATGGAGTGCAGTGTGTTGCATTTGGAAAATGTGGTGTGAATTTTTGCTTATTTTGGCTATAAAAGGAATGTTTTTTACAAATAAAATCATAAAAAAACAAATAGTATCTCATCCAAAAAGAGCTATAAAATTATTCTGAAAATATATTCTGTGAGTATTTTTTGAGTTGCCTTGACAGCATCTGTGATCACATTTCTTTGCTGTTGTATTTGTAAGGGATTTTCCTCACAAATATTTGTGGAGTGCATGCCAAGAGCAGGAGGTAGGAAAGTTTGCACTGGTACCTTTTCACCCTGGCAGCTGTGCTGCAGATTTTACGTAGTAAGCGACTAAAGAAAATTAGCTTCATTGTAACTTATTGTGATTCTTTACAGCATTGCAACCACCGCACAAGTAAATGCTGCTGGCACTCTGCTTCACACAGATCCCCTTATTTAGCATTATTATCTGCTCACAAGTACCATTATATTCCTGGTCTGCAGTAGCTGGTAGCTTTCCAAATCAGAAAGGGTGGATGTTTGACAAGTTGCACATGAAAGCTTGTAAATTTGTTGCAGAAATTAATTTGACCCAGGGCTGTTAAAGCTTTGTTTTCTGTGATTACGGTTAATTCACAAAATACGTGTTTGTTGCATTAGTATAATGCAAATTAAACTTTCCTGATTTTAATACTCAGGATCTTTATCCAAGGCTAATCCATGATTAACTTCACTGTTTTTCTGACGCATTAAAATTTTCCTCTCTTCTAGATACATTTGAAATGGTTTCTGAAGATGATGATGGAAAATTGGTTTTTAAAGTAAATTACCACTACATGTCTCAGGTAAAAAATGCAAGTGACGCCAACAGCGCTGCCAGAGCCCGACGTCTTGCTCAAGAAGCTGTGACTCTTTCAACGTCGCTGCCTCTCTCATCTTCATCCAGCGTTTTTGTACGTTGTGATGAGGAACGGCTTGACATTATGAAGGTAAAGAAGCAAAGCTATTTTTATTTCCCTCTTTCAGCTTGGCATATAAGCATTTAAGAAGGTGCCCTAAATCTTAATAAAAAACAGACATATTTCACGTATACTTTAATTCCTGTCCAAACTTGAACATAAGCAGTAGTATTGGAGATCCTGATTTCTCGGTAACTTGACAGAGGACAGGGACAGGGAGAGTCCCTCTGCCCTAGGAGTGCTCTGTTGGCCAAGGAGACTTCACAGACCAAGGCTCACTGTTCAGCCGTTCTGAAGGGAAAAGCTGAATTTTGTTATGCCATTATGGTCAAAGCGTGTCTTGGCATGCGACCATTGAAGTCACAGAATCACAGAA